AATCTCGCGAGGATTGCGCTAATTACCTCGGAATTTTGTTGATCTCTGTTGCCTCCAAGATTTTGTCTGTTCTACGCCGCAGGCTCTCAGCGACTAGAGAAGGCGTTTACCGTGAGGAATAAGCGGGTTTCCCTCCAGGTCGAGGTTGCATTGACCAACACTTCACACTCCGCCAACTGCTTGAATTCCGTCACGTCCACTGACGGCCAACCGTCGTAGTGTTCTTGGAATCCGAGCACCTTTTGACAGATAGCTCTGCGTTGTAGAACTGTCTACTAAGGAAAAGTGTGCCCGACATGTTTGCAACCATCTAGAAGGATTTCTACAATCACAGGTCGGTCGAACTCAGGGCCTACGGCACGCTTACCACTTCGTTTGCTGTCACCAGCGGTGTGCGCCAAGGTTGCCCCATATCACCTTTCCTCTTCACTTATACCATTGATGGTGTCCAACGATCATTGAAAGGCACTCAAAACTGCGGTATTGAGATTCTCCCAGATGACAGAGTCGCGGACTTGGACTACGCCGATGATATCGCTTTACTTGTGGACGATCCACAAGCCGTCCATTATCACCATCATTAACAACAGTACATCAGTCATTTGAACTGATGCTTCGCTGCCATACAACCATAACGACCTGTGTAACAAAGAATAAGAATAGGGAGAGAAGGAGGACTTACCTGAAAACCTTAATGCCCTAAGCAAACATTCAGGGTCAAGGCGCCTACACCTTGTGTAAACAACCTACCGTCACAAACAGCTGGCTATCCTGCAAAGATAAGGCGGCATCGGCGAGACAGCTTCATTGCGGCTTCCACTTCCCCGCGTCATAATCAGCCATTACTCCGCAGATAACTCAGCACCAAACACACTTTAAACAGACAAAAAGATTATAAAACGGCAGAAGACGCGCCACTGGTGTCGGTTGCGAGCCATGTCCTGTAAAGTCTCGAGCCAAGCACAAGGGGAGTCACTTGGACTCCAGCCCCGAAGGCGAGACGGACCAACGGTACCCAGTTTGATCGTCAGTGACTTCATTTCCCTCTGCCAAGTCAACTTCTGTCCATCTCGAGCCTTGCGCCATCCGACACCTGGTAGACTGAACCAGCTCCTCGGTAACTGATGACCAGGCATACGTAGCACGTGCCCGAGCCCACGCAACTTATTCAGTGCTATCTGTTGTTCTAGGGAGCTAGCATGATCATCACTACCTAGTATTCGCCTACGCACATCATCGTTGCGGACACGCTGGTGCCATCGGACAACGATGATCAAAGACTTGAAGGCGCCTCAGATCTTCAGACCGAAGGGGCCAAGTCTCACTACCATACAGCAGAACGGCCCTCACTGTGGCCTTGTATACACGGCCTTACAGACGGAGGGGGATTCTCTTTTGTTACCAGAGATGCCGCAGCTTCAAGAAGGCAGCCCTGTCCTTTACAATGCGTAAGCTGACGCCAGTTTCTATGCGCCCATCATTGCTGATGCGGCTGCCAAGATAAGTGAAATGATCAACCACCTCGAGCTCCTCGTTAGCAAGCGTCAAGGGGTCATACAGTGATTGGTGGTCCTGCAGCAACAGTTTGCGCTTTGAAGGTGCGAAATGCATACCAAATAATGGGACCTCTCTAGACAGGCTATTCAGGGTTGATTGTGCAGTCGCAACATGGTCGAAAAGCAAGACGATATCGTCCGCATTATCTAGGTCAACTAACCTTTCACCAGGCAGCACTTCAACGCCTACATCGTGAGATTCCGCAAGGGAACACTCCATGATAGAATCCACGACGAAATTGAACAAAAATGGGGAAATCGGACAACCCTGGCGAACGCCACTTGTGGTCAGAAAGCCATCCGATAAGCCACCCTAGACCCTAACGCGGCCTCTAGTGTTCGAGTATAGAGCACGAAGGATGTTCACATATTTCGTGGGAACACCTTTCCGCGCAAGTATTTCGAACAGAATCGATCGATCGACTGAATCGAACGCACTCTTGAAATCGAGGAACACAGCTATTGTCGGTCTGTGCTATGCGTGGCGCTGCTCTAGCACCTGCCGCAAAGTAAATATATGGTCTGTACAGCCACGTCCTGGGCGAAAACCGGCCTGCTCTTCCCTAATCCGAGATTCCCGTTCTGCAGTGAGTCGATGAACGATAATCGAGGCCAGTAATTTTGTCACAACTGGCGTTAGGCTTATACCCCTGTGATTAACACAGTCTGTTCGACTGCCTTCTTTTATATTGCCACTATAATTGAATCGCTCCAATTAGCCGGATACACTTCCTCCCAGATACGTTCGAATAGGGAAGTCAGTGCTTTGCAGAGAACCTCACCTCCATCCTTAAATAGTGCAGGTGGGAGGGAATCCTGGCCACCGGCACGAAAACGATTGAGGGTTGTGTGCGAGTTTCGGACCTCGACCTCCGACGGAGGCCCTAAACTAATCGTTAATGGATCGTCCTGCATCACCTGAGTAGGTAAACGTCCGGGAGCAGGGGGCCAGCTGAACTGATCTTGAAAGTGTTCCGCCCAACGAGCCATCCGGCGCTCCTTATTGTGTATCAGTGCACCCGGGCTGTCTCCGATTGTCTCACTGACTCCTAGTTTCCTAGGACCAATAGTGCGGATTAGCTAGCAGAGCTTGCGGTAATTGTCTCCTGCTCCTGCCTCATTCATTTCTTGAGCCCTACTGGTCCACCAGGCTTCCTTGTCAGCACGTAGGCTCTGCTTTAGTTCACGCCTAATGACCCGTCTGGTCACATTGTGTTCAGAACTAGCCGGGAGGTATCTTCTGGATTCCAACACGTTCACCGACCTCTGTGATATCCAGTGACTGGTTCCGTGACGATTGATAGTACCACAGACAGATGCTCCTGAGCCGTGCATGGCTGTTGAAATACTATTCTACTGAAGCTCAGTGTCATTAGGACAGGACAGCGGAAGTTCCGTGTGCAGTGCTTCTTGATAGGCTTGCCTGACCGAGGGCTGAGACAATTTCTCAGTTGTCAATTGGAGGACCGTCGCAACGAGACTGGACCTTAACGTGGTGCGACGGTTTGCGTACCTCATTGACCCATTGAGCTATACTGGGTGATGCCTCAGAGCATCTTTAGAGCTACTCCTACCAGGTTGGTCACTGGTTAGAGATCGGACAAAGTCAGTCTCTTGGTCCTCCAGGTTGGGGGTTTGAAATGGGATGGCGTCCATTTATTTAAAACCGAATCACTGCCACATCCGCTACTTTGCGGACAGGCTTTTGAGCCAAATGCTTTGGTCGAGGACCCTAATCGTTCTCTCGTCTAGGTCTGGGCGCCGTGGCAGTATCCCAGCCCACATACAACCATGACATTTTCTTCAAACATTAGCTTCATCCTGCATCGGCCGTCGCGCAGATTATCAAGGGTCGCCTTATCTGCTGCATACAGCAGGGCGGATAAGCGAAAGCATGCTACTGCTGGCGCCTCCCTTCTTTCTTTTCCACCTATTTCTCTTAGTCCTATCCCGGCCCCCCATTACTAACCTTCCTTCTATAATTCCCAGCTTAATTGACAGCAACCGAAGTGCTACTGGAGTAGAACCATCTGCAGCCACCATCCCACAGCACCTATCGGACGCCTATCGGCCAAAGTCCCTTATAAGGCCACGCTGTCCCGTTTCCATGGCGACATTCAACGTCTGCACTCTAAGATAAACAGGT